TGGGTTTGAACCACCAGCCGTCTGGTTAGCAGGCAAGTGTCTCAGCCACTATGCTACCAGAGCTCCCTATATATTATATAAAATCCAGTGATCATTTAAAATCATTTAATATCTAAGAATTTAAGTAGCTGTAAAAGAGCAAAAATCTACTTCTGAATTATTGCAAGTGCCAAGTGGACCCTAAATTCTTTGTAGCCTCAGCCTGTTGAAAGATCCCTGCCCCAGACAAAGTACAAGAGCAGGGCACAAGCTCTCCAGAAAACTATGTTCTCTGAATCCCAAAGAGTTAAAACTCTATGCCTTGAAACTTACTTTTTAATGCCACCTCCGTCTTTTAGGATGACCCGTTTGTCCTTGTGCACAGTGAGATTTAGGAGAACACCACAGGCAGAAAAGCAAATATCCTGATGTTTTGCGTCCAGCAGTGCAATCATGAACTTGTGGACTGGGAGGATGGAGAACAAATGCAGAGCGGTGAACTCTCAGGGGTCTCAGCTGTGTTCTCCTTTTACAAAAAGGCAGTGACTTGCAAAACTGGGAACCCTGTTAGTGGACTTAACTGAGCAGTGGGTTCCCCAATACCTGGCACTCCCAGAACCTCTCCCACAAGGCTGTCTGCCCCCAGACACTGCTCTATCCCATCCAGGCAGCAGCTCCCTCTTCAGGGTAACAGTGGTGTCCCTTCCATGGAAAGGAGGGAACCGTGGACTTCCAACCACAGAAGTGACACTCATCTCTAACTTCTGATGGTCCACAAGGGTCTTTTTGACCCTCCAGCAGCAATTCTCTTTTAAATACCCAGCCCCAGAGGGAGAGGCTTCTTTTGAGATCTTCCTAGAAGTCTTCTAGGGCCACACCACAGCTCTTAAGAGAAGACTTACTCAGATGCTGGAAACTGACCTATGCTAAGGCAGGCCTTTCAGTGCAGGGATGGCTCAGTCCAGGCAGGCTCCCAGCCACTGGGGTATATTTTCCCTTACTCCTACAAAAAGGAAGTGGGAACTCTTCATCCTGTCTTCTAGTTGCCCTAGCAGGGGGTGGGCATAGGCATGGGGGAGAGTGGATAAAGCATGTGATCTGCTGCCTCCTATCCCACTGGTCACCTGAGAGGTGACCTCCCTCTTCTAGCTCTGCTGGGTTGGGCAGTGAGCTTGGCAAAGGCTGCATCATGTATGTGTTTTGAGAGCATAAAGAATGCTCACATTAGCAGCATGGATAATAAAATCAGACAATACAGAGATTAGCATAGTCCCTGTGCAAGGATGTCAGGCAAAATTCACGAGATACTCCATATTTAAAGAAAAAAAAAGTCTAAACATGCACAGCAAAATATTAACAGTTAGCTCTGGGGTAGAAAGTTGATGGGTGATGGTTTGATGCAGCTTCTTTTTTTAATATCTGTATTATTTAAATATATTTTCTATTAACATGGATAATTTTTTTTTCTTACATGAACTATCTGATATATACAAAGAGTATGGCTAGTGTGTCCCCACCATTAAGAAATTAAACATTACAGATCTAATTTAACATTTCTGCGTATCCGTCCCCTATCCTTTCATCGTCTCTCTTCTCTCTAGAGGTAGCTTTAGTCTTAAATGTAGAGTTTATTCTTCCCAAGTATAAAAAAACCAAATCAAACTTACTGCCGTGGACTCGGATCCGACTCATAGTGACCCCTCCTTGGGTTTCCAAGGTGGTATCACTATGGAAATACCTTGCCCAACCTTCCTTCTGAGGAGTGGCTGGTGGGTTTGAACCAACAGCCTTCTGGTTAGCAGTCAAATAATACTCAGGATTGTTTTGCATGTTTAAAAACTTATATTAATGGCATTGGTCTGCACAAATCCTCCTATCACTTGGTTTCTTGACATTACATTGTGTTTTTGAGGTTTATCCATGTTGACACATGAACTTTTAATTCATTTATGTTAACTGCTGAGGAACATTTCACTGCATGAATATACTAAAATATATTCATCCTCTTGCCTGCTGCTGGACATTTAGGTTATTTCCACTTTTTGCTACTACAAGAATACTATAATGGACATTCTTGAAAGGTTTATCTATTGAAAGAAATTTTCTTTGTTGGTTACCAGGGGTGGGAGGGGAGGGGAGGGAACACTGTTAGATAGATAGAGATAAATATTGATTTGGGTGAAGAGAAGGGTAATGTACCAAATGTGAGTGACCAAAATGGCAGCACTGAGGATGAGAAAGACATAGAGAGGTACATGGGAGGTATAGACAACAAATATGAACCCTTTTGCACGTATAGTACTGCGTTGTCAGTGAAGAAAACATGGGTATATGGATGGATAGATAGGTGGACAGGCTAAATGATTAGGTATGTCTATGAAATGGGGAGTGTATCCAAGATCATATATAGGGTTGGCAGACAATGGTCCTATAAGTTTATGTGAATGATCAGAATTCCCAGGTGTATAGTAGAACTGACAAGGGGCAAGGTTGTGGTCACTGCTTGGTCACAGCCAGCTACCCAGAGCGACCAAGTAGTTGAACCTGCGGGCTTGGGACCATAGTCGCAGGGGACATCAAGCTCAATTGGCATAACATACTATACAAAACATTGTTCCACCTCCTACTTTGGCGAGTAGCGACTGGGGTCTTAAAAGCTAGCAAGCTGCCATCTAGATGCAATGATGGGTCTCTCCTCATCCAGAGCAAAGAAGAATGAAGAAAACCAAAATTAATGGAAACAATCAGTCCTAGCGACTGGTATACCATCTGATCTGCAGCCTATATGACTATGAGACCAGAAGAACTAGATGGTGCCTGGCTACCACTGTCATCTACTTGGAAGGGGATCTGTGTAGAAGATCCTTGATAGAGAGGGAGAACAATGTGGAACAAAACTCAAAATCATTTGGAGGGGGAAAAAAAAAAAAAAAAAGATGGTGGGGACCAGGTTTGCTGGTCTGATAGAGCCTGGTGGAACCACTGAAACTATGGCCCCTAGCTGTCCTTCGTCTGGAATTGAACTCACACCTGTGGTTTCCAGCCAAACAAAAGACAGGCATAGGAGCTGAACATTTACCTCATGTAGATACATGCCTTGGAGAGAACAATCATGGGAAAAAGAAGGGCTGCTTATGCACAGGGAGACAGCTCAGGGGGCAGGAGAGTATGGAGGGATGGACACTGGGAAGAGGTAACTATGGGAAGGAAGTAGGAGGGGAGCTGTTGCATTGTGGTAAACTGTGGTCAATGACATGAGACAAAGTATATGTGAACTGCTTGCTGTATGGAAAGTGAATTTGCTCTGTAAATCTTCACCCAAATCACAATTAAAAAAAAAATTAATGTAGTTTTACTAAGCAAAAAAAAAAAAAAAAAAAAAAAAATGCTATAATGGACATTCTAGCATGTAAAGGAAAATGTCTCTTCAGCCCGTTCCATGGGTGGAAATGATGGGTCTAGATGACTTGTTTCCCTCAGACAAACTCATACCCCATCTCAGAACTCAGAAGGCCACTCAACAGGGAAAGACACATTTCCAACACAGCCCAGATTCATCTTGGCATCCTGAGTGCTACACGCCCCGAAACAGAAACCACGTTGTGATGACCCAAGCTCTGAAGCTGTTTATCTAACTATTGACAAGAACTGCGTGTATATGAATGTAGGTTTCATTAACTCACTATTTTTCCGCACAATGAAATCACAGATGTCACGGTACTGGGAGAGATTTCCAAACACACGCACAGCCTCCAGGATTCCATCCATGTTGTTACTCACCAGAAGCTTTAAGAGCACTGGGTTTGGTTACCAAAGAAATAAAACCAGTGAATTTAAGTTTTAATGCCAAGGCTACTAGTAATCAATATAATACTAAATACTGAATAACTTTAAAATTATAAATGATAATAAAATACTAACTATAAGGGACTTCAGCAAGAAAGGTAAGAAACTAGTTTTCCTCATACAAGGAATTTAGGTTTCATTCTTAGATTTAAATCAGGCTCTAAGATATCTGTACTGAAAGTCAGAAAATATTAATGCCTCCAGTTCTGTGTTTAGGTAATAAAATAAAAACCTGAAACAAGCATTCATTTCCCAAGCCCAACTCTGAACCTTACATTCCGCAATATATAGCTTTTTGTCATGAATTACAGAATTCTTCACTTGGTAGTAAGATAAATTGTTGATTGTTGCTGCAGCATTGATCACCAGCTCCTCACAATCATCAATTGACTTGTATTCTGAAACAAAGTAAGGATAAGGATGTGGGTGTCAAAGGCTTACTGCAGGGGACCAAGGACATCACAACTGTAGCAACAGCAGGGCCAGGGACATGCCTTCCTCCCAGGCAAAGGCTGTGCAAGGGCCGCTTAATTTCCCATAATTCTTCCTGAAGGGAAATGCACTGAGCACACGGGGATCCTAACAGAGCAGGGAAACACCCTATACTCAATCCCTCCAGCCAGGGGTTTTAGAACAATTGGGCGGTTCTAGGGCCTGTGTCTGTAGCAAAGAGAGGCCAGCACACCAATGAGCTGAACCAACCAGAAACCATTCTCACTGCCATCGAGTTGATTCTGACTCATAGTAGAAGCAGACTGCCTTATCTCTCTCCTATGGAGCAGCTGGTGGGTTCAAACCGCCTGCCTTCTGGTTAGCAGCCAAATGCCTTAACAACTATACCAGCAGAGCTCCTCCGTGAGCTGAAGCCAGCTCTGATCCCCAACCGGTTTGCCTGCTCCTTGGATTCTCCCAGGACCTCTACCCTGGGAGTCTGGAATTTTTTCCCCACCTCTGCCAGCTCCCAACAGACTGATCCTTAGGTCACAAACCATCCCTAATACCTATCAACTCTGCCTTCTAAACCAAAACTCCAAACCAAACTCCTGCCGCTGAGTCGGATTCAACTCATAGTGACCCCTCTTTGGGTTTTCAAGGCAGTATCACTATGGAAGTGGATGGCCCAGTATTCCTTCTGAGGAGTAGCTGGTGGTGGGTTTGAACCACCGGCCTTCTGGTTAGCAGTCAAATGTCTCACCTCCTCCCTGGTTTCTCTTCTAGCACCTTTGCTTCCCTAAGTCTATTCTCAACACAGTGAGTCCTACAGAGTAAGCTGGATAATGTCACTCATCTCCATGCTCCAATAATTAAATCTCTGAAGGTGCATCCTAACATCCCATTTTACAGATGAGGACATTGAGGCTGAGAGAAATTAAATACTTTGCCTGATTTCACAGAGCAGGCATCTGACTCCAAACCCGACTCAACCATCCTGATCTTTCCGTAGCATCCTGCTGAGGCCATTACACATTACCAAGGGCACATTAGAGCCACTGGGACAATAATTTGCTTCCAAAGAGTATGAGAGAACCACATCACCCTCTGAGACTGAGAGCTGAAAGAGAACGTGGAATCTGGAGTTTGCCCTGAAGGTAGCACATTTCTGAGTAAAGGGGCCAACTGAGAGGCCTGCTTCTTAAAGAAACATTTTGATTTTTAAAAGACCCTCTGCAATAATATAGGCAATTTCTGGGGTACAAGCAACTCCCCTGTGAGGGGGTCAGGGCTGGGGAGAGCTAGAAGAGAGATGACCCAAGGGATGCCTTTCCCATGTGGCTGGGGGAGGGTGCAGGATAGCAGGAGGGTCAGGTGGGAAGGATACTCAGCCTGGAGGGTAAGTAGAGTGGCAGCTGCTTTGACCTCAGGTAGGTGGGTACAACATGACCAGTAAGGGATCATGTCCTTTCTGTGGTCACAGAGTCACAGCCCCAGTGCTGGTTTTGGGCTGTCTGTACGTGGCCAGAGGAGAACCGGTGGTGAAGTGGTTAAAGCATTTCACTGCTAACCAAAGGTCAGTGGTTTGAACCCACCAGCTGCTCTGTGGGAAAACATGAGGCAGTCTGCTTCTGTAAAGATTTACAGCCTTGGGAACTATATGGGGCAGTTCTACTCTGTCCCATGTAGGGTCACTATGAGTCAGAATCAACTTGCTGGCAGTGAATTTATGGGTACATGGCCAAGCCTGTCAGAAGCTGGCAGGCACTTTGAAGACCAGCTTCCTTCTCCCTGAATTTGAGCATTACTTCACACTGATACAGATAAAACAGGTGGGAAATCAGCAGAGATCAGTTTAGCAGGTATTATGGGTTGAATTGTGTCCCCCCAAAATGTGTGCTGAAACCCTAACTGGTAGTGTAGTAGTTAAAGCATTCAGCTGCTATCCAAAAGGCAGGTGGTTCAGACCCACCAGCTACTCCACGGGAAAAAGATGACTTAGTGTGCTTCCCTAAAGATTTACAGGCTTGGAAACCCTATGGGGCAGTCCTATTCTGTCCTATATGGTCACTATGAGTCAGAATCGACTTGATGGCAGTGGGTTTGGTTTGTGGTTTGTGACCCTGTATGGAAATAGGAGTTTTGTTTTGTTTTGTTACATGAATGAGGTCTTGCCAGAGTAGGGTGGATTCTAAATCTAATCACTTTTGAGTTATAAAAAGATCCAAATGATAACAGAGATACACATGTGGCTGGAACAGACACCAGGTGAGAATCATCTGCAAGGAACCAAGGAACACCCACGGCTACCAACGAGGAAGGGAGTGACACGACTGACCCTGATTTGGACTTTGAGCCTAGAGAAATGTGAGAAAATAAACTGTTCTTGAAAGCCACCCATTTGCGGTATTTGTGTTACAGCAGCATTAGGTAACTGGGCCAGCGGGGCTTGTAGGGCTCAGGGAGTTCACCTCAGCAACTGAGCCGAGTACGGGAGGTGAAGGTGGGCGATCCTGTCTTCACTCTCCTAGGAACTTCTTTGGGGAGATAAAAGCTTTTAGGGGATAGAATGAAGAAGGGATCCCCTACTTGCCCAAACAGTTGCTCAAGGCTTGACAGGCTAGAGGGGCCTGATCAACCACCACAAACATCTTCTTAACTTTTGGTTAACCTCAGATGGTTTTGAGTTCCAACCCTGTACAGACTGAAGCATTTCTCAAAGGGAAGCCTCTGAATGCCTGCACCAGGACCAGTGCAGACTCCTGGGCCCACACCTAACTTGAATCACAACTAGGGCCAAGAATCTGTATTTTTAATAAGCTCCCTGGGTGATTTTTATGCACATAGACATTTTGAGAACCACTGGATTAGAGCTTCACTGGCCAAGAAACAAAGGTTGTTCCTGAGTTCCAGTAACCTCAAGAGAATACACTGGAGAGACCTCACGTGGGAATGCCCCAAATGACAGAGGCTGAGCACCTGCTCTCCCAGAGAACAGGATGATGAAGGCACAAAGGGGCAGGCCCCAAAGCCTCCTGTGGACTCTGGCTAGGGGTCAGATCTAGATGCCCTGGAGTAACCCCTTTATCGCTGGCCTAATCTGCTTCCTCTTTCTCCTATCCAAAGGTATTGCCTTTCTGGGAATCAAAAGCAAGTTATTGATTCTATCTTTAGTTTACAGGTACAAATGTAATTTCTAAACTCCTAAAATTGATTTTAAAAAAGGCCAGGAACTTTTTCATTGTAAGGAGCCCTGGCACATGTGAATATTAACAACTGTAGGAAAATGAATTAGGCATAGCTCTGTTCCTTTACTTGGCCATTCACGATAATAAGCCCCGAGTCCAAGAACTCAGCCCCTTCTAGGTCATTGCTACCAGGTACAGGGATTGAGCATGCAACATATGAGAACTCATCCAGCAAGTTTCAAACTTTGTAATTCTTCACCTGTCACAGAGGCTAACTATAGTTCCCTGAGCAATGGGTCTCGGCGTTTAATGGGAATAAGAATCATTTGGAGGCAGGGGAAGAATTCAAATGCAGGTTCCAAAACTCTCACCTCATCCCAGAGTCAGTTCCTGGATAAGGCCCTGGGCAGGGTAAATTAAGAGTCCCACAGCTGATCCTGAGGCAGCTAGTTCCTGGCTCTAAGCTGAGAAGCACCACCCTGAAGGGCTGAGCCTCCAGGGAGGAAGGAACATCAGAAGATGGAAGTGTTACAACCAAAAAGCTACAAAATTTGAGGGTGTTGCAAAAACTGAATTTTAAAAATGTCAAAGCCCACTTCTGGAAGCTTGGGTTTCCCAGTGGCCACTGAATTGATTCAAATTCATGGTGACCTCATGTGAGTCAGAGTAGAACTGTGAGCCATAGGTTCTCAGTGGCTGATGTTTTGGAAGTAGATTGCCAGGACTTTCTTCCAAGGCACTTCTGGGTGGATCCGAACCTCTCACCTTTTGGTTACTAGCCAAGCACTGTTTGCACCACCCAGGGACTCTGGGAGCTCTGCTACTTGGGAAGATGCGGGCCCTACATATCTTCTCACTCCCTCCAATATGCTCTCTGTCTACAGGACAATGACTCGGTGCCTCAGTGTAGAATTCAAGGTCCTCCACAAAAGACACAACCCATCTTTCTAGCTGTCTCATTACCCTGGACTCGAGACTCGGTGAACACGCCCTGCAGCACATCTCGTTTTCACCTGGAATCCCATTCTCTCCCTCTCTGCTTTTCTTTGTCAAAGCCATTCATTTTAAATGTCTTCCCCAACTGAATTCAACAAACATTTACTCAATATCAATTATGAGCAAGGCATTCTGCTAGGCTCTTTCAGGGATATAAGAGGAAATAAAAAATAGTCCCTGCCCCTCAAGGTTGCTATGTGGCCACAAAATAGATATAATCAAAACAGCAACAGGAAAAACAAGAATGGACGTTGCTTCTACTAAGGGTATGTGTAGGGAAGGTGGACTTAAGTCAAGGAGTTGAACCTGATGCCACAGGTGAAGGAGTTTCATGGAATGCTTTTGAGCAAGAAGGAGACGCTCAGCATTGTGTGTAACAGGGCAGAGCGTAATGATGTGATGTGGAAGGAGAGCTGAGGAGGGAAGCCTGCAAGGAGAGGGCGAAGAGAGAACCAGTCAGGGCACGGACAGAACCAGAGAAACGGCAGCAGGGATGGAAGGAGACAACAGGTGTGAGAAACAACGTCCGGGAGATTAGACGCTATTGTTTAGATATAAGGGTGGGAAGGGCATGCTGGGGCTGGATTCCGTATCTGCCTAAGACAGGAGGATGGGCTTGTAAGCAGATATGTTTTCAACACGTGGGTTTGAAGCGTCCACAGCACAACCAGATACCGATTCTAACCAACAATTTAACATGCAGTCAGCAACTTGGAAGAGAGTTCAAGAGCAAGTGTGTAAATTTTTCAGTTATCACATGGAAGTGACAACTCATGGGGGAAATCTCAGTCAGAATTTAGGAATGCTTCTTGAGACAGGCAACATGCACAACAGAGGAGTATGAGTTCAGGGCTTGGTGACTCTGACACTTCGTAATTTTGTGAGCTGTAAAAGTCACTTCATCTCACCGAGCCTGTTTCCTTGTCTGCAAAATGGTGAAAATGACAGACCACCCCTACGCAGTTGTTATGAGGTAATGGATATGAAAGTGCTTTTTAAACTATAAAGCTCCATAATAAAGTAAAGCATTGTTATTACACACAGACACACCCAAAAAATGGACTCAGTGGCTCCATCTCCTCAGCCCTCATACCCCTTATGCACCTTGTTTCTGTCACTTTCATACACTGTGTAGTTCTTGTCTGTCACCTGACATTCCTTGAAAACAGATACACCCATTCCATTGAGTTGATTCTGACTCAGTGACTCCAGGACAGCATAGAACTGCACTACCGGGTGTCATCTTTATGGAAGCAGACGAAATCTTTCTCCCACAAAGCAGCTGGGTGGGTTTGAACTGCTAACTTCTCAGTTACCCCTTTCCTATATTCTTTTAAAATACAGCATATAGTGTAGGGCTGTTATATAGTGATGTTGTTGTTAGGTGCTGTCGAGTCAATTTTATCTCACAGTGACCCAACGTGACAGAGCAGAACTGCCTCAGAGTGTTCTAGGCTGCAGTCTTCGTGGAAGTAGATCACCAGGTCTTTTCTCCCACAGACCTGCTGGATGGGTTCAAACCGGCAACCTTCTAGGTTGCAGCTCAGTGCTTAACCACTGTGTTACCAAGGCTCCTTGGATGGTACAGTATACTCTCTACTGATTACACAGTAAGGACTCAACAATGCCTCTTAAAAATTGAACAGCAAATAAGTTCACAGGTTACTTAGAAACATCATATTCGTTAGGCATGAAAGTGTCTTCTCTAACAGTCTCTCATGGAGGCTGGTAAGTAGCAGCTCGGTTGATTACCCTGAAGTACACCTACTTCTCTGACCCACCAGCAGACAGAGGAGCCCGTGAGAAGGCCAAAAAAGTAGACAAGGCCTCAAATATGTAAATAGAGGAAGATGGGACCTGGGTGGCTAAGGGCTGTATATAGTTAATGTAAAAACCTATACGCTTGAATTGTATGGACTAAACCAGGGAAACATTGAGACTTTAAACTCTTTGTGGTTAGTGTGGCAAATATTTGGTAACTTGATCTGTATTTTTACTTTAAAAACAAGAGAAAAGATATAATTCACATACTATGAAATTCCCCCTTTTAAAGTGCACAGCTCTGTGGCTTTTAGTAATGATCTCAGTTATTTCTTAAAAAAAAATATTTTTGATTTCTATGCTTTTGAAGCACTTTAGAACTGAAGAGGAATGTTCCCTTCGCACAGCTAAGAGGCCTCATTGCTGCTGTGTGCTGTGGAGTCCGGTCCAATTCACAGCTACCAGATATGACCAAACAGAACCATTCCACAGGGTTTCCTAGGCTGTAAATCTTCACAGGGGCAGAGTGCCAGGTCTTTCTCCCACAGGGCTGCCAGATGGATTTAACTGCCAGCCGTTGGGTTAGCAGCCAAATGCTTAACCACTGCACCACCAGGGTTCCTTAAAACCAACCAACAAACAAAAAAATCTCATTGCGGTCAAATCAATTCCAACTATTTGACTGCTAACCAGAAAGCTGGCAGTTCGAACCTACCAATCACTCCTCGGAAGGAAGACTGGGCAATATATTTCCGCAGTGATACTGCCTCAGAAACCCAAGAAGGAGTGGCTATGAGACGGAATTGACTCCATGGCAGTGAGTTTGGTTTTTTGGAGTGACCCTCACTGGGTTTCCAAGGCTGTAAATCTTTATGGAAATAGACTGCCTCATCTTTCTTCCATGGAGCAGCTGGTGGGCTTGAACCACTGTTGGCAGCCAAATGCCTTAACCCCTACACCATCAGAGCCCCTAGGATTCCTTAAGAGCATCATTAAAGTGAGCCAAAGGTACTAAGAACACCTTCACTGCCCTCAGGCCGCAGAACTGTCTGCAGTGCTGCAGAAAGACCTTCGTATGTTCAGCCTGCTCGACCACGACCATGACCCTGACCATGACCACAACCCCCACCACGGCTCTTACCAAGCGTTGTGAGCAGCAGGGCCACCACTTGTGGTGTGGCAGCCAGCGCAGGGCCGATGCGCGGGTGGATGGCAATATTGGCGAGGACACGGATCAGCTTGATGAGGACATCCTCCGAGCCCGATGGCTGTCTCTGCAGCTTGGCTTGCGTCTCTCCATCACTCGCCAGCTTCTCTGAATTCTGATCAAGTTCGTAGAATGTCTGGAATAGCGACAACAGAGTCTGGATGCTCCCTTTCTCCTTGAAAAACTGCTCACGAGCTTGGTTGTTTTTCGCTGTCAGGTTGCCAAGAATAAAGACAATACGAATGACTACATCCTGTGATAAATTAAAGGCAGAGTTATGAGTGCAAGGGGGCTGGAAGAAATTGTGAAGAGTATAATGTGTAAGTTGTTTCACAATTTAATTAATAGTATGATGGAACATGTCTGGCTTCCTTCAGCTTGTATAGCATTTGACTCCCAAGACTAGTGAGAATTGACAGGGGAGATTAAAAGCCCTTAGTGGCAATGAAAGAATACTAACTGATTGGTGCAATTAGCAAGGTCCATTAACTTCAGATAATGCTGGCCATCCTCTTATTTTTCTTTCTGAGAACAATTAGTTGTGTGGATAGCGTTATTAATATAATATGTTACATGAATCCGTACTACATTCTGAAACTGGCTAATTTTTTTAGCATCTAAATCTTTTCCTAAAAGTCCGACTCCTGCTGAAGCACTGTTTCGTAAAATCAAGCCTTTCCTGTATAATGGATACTGTTGGGTTACACTGGGGTTTCTTAACTTCAGCATTACTCTCATGTTGGGCGGGATAATTTTTTGCTGCGGGGGGCTGTCTGATGCACTGTAGAGCGGTTGATAGCTCTTCTCACTAGACACCAGTTGTGACAATCAAAAATGTCTATAATCCACTGCCATCGAGTTGAGTTTGACTCATAGAGACCCAGTGTCCTATGTGGGGGAAACTGCCCCTATTACAAACCCATGTTATTATATACATAGACCACTTAAAAGCAGCCCCTGTCTTTACATGGAAGTTACTATAAAACAGAACTATACTTGCAGAGACATGAAAGCAGTGACTGAATGACCAGGTTAGGGTCAAGTTAGCAACATGCAACTCACTTATGAGCCCACATTTCTTTTCAAACTAATCTACACATACATGCTTCATAAAATTTCTCCCTCACTGCATGTGTTACATAGATCTTACTCATAATATTTACCACCCATATTCATCACATCAAATTGGCCATAATGCACAGTGAGTAAAAATGATCCTTTTATGCCCAAATTCTTGATATCTGGCATTCTCTGCAAACCCAAGCTAATCACCAAAGATATTTCTATTAAATGCAAGTGTATGTTCATTAGGCCATGTTAGTTTATTTTTGGATTTTCAGGTATTGGTGAAAGTTACTTTGGCCATCTAAGAAAAGAATCCTATCTTGGTATCTAGTGTAACTAAATGCCTGTTTTGTTAAAATTTGACCCTGAGTTTTGAGTGCTGGGATATAAAGTGTAAAATTGCAAACATTTCAAACAAAATACATTGGGTCATGCTGGTGCCCATACAATACTGTACTTTTCTCTGCCCTTTCAGCAGAGGAGGGGGAGTCTGGGAGAGTGTCTAAATAAGGAACCAGGAAGTTCCGTGTCTTAAAAATGCCTCTTTTGGACATCAAGCTCAATTGGCATAACATACTATACAAAACATTGTTCCACCTCCTACTTTGGCGAGTAGCGACTGGGATCTTAAAAG